GGGGTCAGTTTGGGGTGCCAGGGGCAGTTCAGGGCGCCCAGGGGTCAGTTTGGGGTGCCCGGGGGTCAGTTTTGGGGGCTCACCAGGCCGTGCTCGTCGAAGGCGCCGGCGCAGAGCTCCTGGTAGAGCCGGGGGTCGAGGGGCAGCTCCTCGTCCGAGAGGCTCTCGGGGGGCCCCGGCCCCAGCTGCGCCTTCAGCAGCTCCAGGTCCCCCTCGCGCCCCCGCGCCAGCTGGGGGGGGGTCAGCACCGCCAGGGACCCCCAGGACCCCCCCCCGGCACCCTCGGGACCCCCCCATGGCACTCTCAGGACCCCCAAGGAGCCCCTTATCAGCTGGGGGGGTTCAGCACCACCAGGGACCCCCAGGACCCCCCCATGGTACCCCCGGGACCCCCCCATGGCACTCCCAGGACCCCTTATCAGCTGGGGGGGGTTCAGCACCACCAGTGACCCCCCATGGCATCCCTGGGACCCCCTGATGGCACCTCCAGGACCCCCTTATCAGCTCGATGGGGGTCAGCACTGCCAGGGACCCCCCGGCCCCCTCAGAACCCCCCAAAGGCACTCCCTTATCTGCTGGGGGGGGTCAACACCACAACAGACCCCCCGGGACCGCCCCACAGCACCCTGGGACCACCCCACAGCACCCCCTCACACCAGCTGGGGGGGTCAGCACCTATCCGGGCACCAGCACCCCCACCCCAGGGACCCCCCCACACCACCCCCAGCCTGGGGGCCCACGAGACCCCCCCTCACCCCAAGGGGATCCCAGATTTTGGGGCACCCCCACCCTCCGTCCCCCAGCTCATCCCCCTCCCATCCAGACCCCCCCGGCCCCGGGGCCCCGGTGACTCACCGAGGTGGGGAAGTACTTGTAGGACTCCTGTGGGGACACAGTGGGGACACGTCAGGGACACGGGACAGGGTGGCAGAGGGACACGGAACACGTCAGGGACATGGGGTAAGGTGACACAGGGACACGGGACGCGTCGGGGACACGTCAGGGACACGGGATGAGGTGACACAGGGACACGTCAGAGACACAGTGACAGGGAACCGGACTGGGGACACGCTGGGGACACACTGGAGCCACCCCAACCCCCTCCCCCAGGACCCCCAAACCCCACAGACCCTGAGCACACACCAAAGACACGCCAAGCACACGCAGACAACACAGGAAGGACTCACCCCACGCCGAGGCCACGCTCAGCACACGTCACGCACACGCTGACCCTGTGACCACACCGAGGTCACGCCAACATCACATCAGCACCAAACCAAGGTCACACTGAGCACACGCTTCGGCCACACAACAACCACACCAAGCACACGCCAAGGACACGTTACACACGTGCTCAGCACACGCCGGCCCCACCTGCAGCGCTCGCCCCACACCAAGCACCCGCTGGGCCCACACTGAGGACGCGCTGAGGACACACGAAGGACACGCCAAGCACACGCCAAGCCCACGCCAAGCCCTGCTCACCCGGGCCCGCAGCTGGCACTGCCGCAGGCGACACTTCTGGCGGATCTTGTTGGGGCCCCCGAACTTCTTCATGTCCCGGCAGAAATCGCACTGCCCGCAGTCCTCGGGGCGCCGGCAGGCCTCGCACTCCCCACACATGCGGGCCGAGCGCTTGATCTGGGGGGGTCACACAC